ATACGGCTGTACCGAGTGCATGGGGGTTATGACACGAAACTTAATCGTTTTCATGGCGTTACTAATGATGTTTGATACGGCTGTACCGAGTGCATGGGGGTTATGACACGAAACTTAATCGTTTTCATGGCGTTACTATAAAGGAAGTTATTAACAATTTTTTAGAGAGAAAAATCTACCACCATTAATTTTAATGAATCTGATTGGTTGTGTAAAGTATAGGTCTGTTCCGAATAATAGGGTTGCGATCCTAAAGCTAATGTTGGTAACTATCGAGTGTCACTTTTTACTTGCTGTGTATTGACAACAAGTCACGATATCTAATAAAAAACTTTCTATGGGAAAAACAGATAGCTATCCTTATACCATTGATTCAAATATTCATTCATTCGTTAACCAGGCCACATATTTTGTTTTACCCATCATCATGCCTTAAGTTGAACAAAAAACACGGCCTGGCTAACTAATGAATTAATATTTGCTGTAAAATTCATATCAATGCTAAAAGTTTGGCCGCCAATTTTGATTTCATTCCTTTAAGTCGCACGCTCAATCCTTCTTTTGGCCGCATCCTTTGTTTCACAACTAAAGTGTTTTTGGTTATATATATATATACATAATCAACAAACGGCGTGTTAAAATGTCTTCCACTCGGTGGATGTTCGGAGTACGTTTAACTGCTTACATAATCCCAAACATTGGTTTGTTTTTTTTAACGAACGTATTTCAGTTGATGCCAAAAATCATAGAAAAGGTTATATTTGAGAGATCCCATTCCAAGATCAAAATTCGGGTGAAAAAAAAATCAAGTTATAATAACTTACATATGTTTAATTTTAAATATATTTGTTGAAATCGAGTTCATTATCGTTAACAGATATTCTTGCTTCCATTCAATGTTTAAATATTCCACCGCAGGTTGGATATTTCTTCAAGGAAGACTAGGTAATTACATTATCTTTCAATTTGAACATAAAAAAAAGTATTCTCTGAGAATCCTTTTTAAATTTGATCATTCTAAAGATCTCAGAATTATGATATTTTAAAGCTTATTAACACTTAAAGTTGAACTCGCTGTCATTAAGTGCTATCACTGTTATGTTGTTTTTTGGATATATATATACGCAAATGTGCATAAGGGACATCAGCCCCTAAGTTTGAACTCGATAAGATCAAGTGAAAGACAAGATAGCCAAAAGCTCCAACCACCAACTCTTGGACTACTGTAGTTGAATAATGGGATTTATCCGTCACTTGTATAACATATCCACATATTCAAAGTGTAACGGCATCTAGCTAGATGCGAACTTCGGATTTAAAATCCTACAAATTATCCACCGAAGCCTTGAGCAACACCACTGCTTGTAACAAACATTTATATTCTACCCGTTCATATTACATTTCTATACAAATATGGGAAACTGTGCGAGTAAAAGACATCTCAAAACACCATATATATATATATATTCCATCATTATATTAAGTCTAGTCTTATCTGCTCTTATTCAGGGTTTATAATCGAAGAATGGAAATCGGTAAATCTAATTCTTCTTTTTACAGATTTAATTTCACTGGAAACCCGATGAAGGTCTGTTGCCGGAAACGTTGTTTTCATGATGATTAATAAAATGTTAATTCTGCGAGCTTTTCACCATTATTATATTATTATCAATATATTAGGCTTCACATTTATTATTTCTAAGTTCTCATTAACAGTTTAAACAAGTGTCGTTACTCTTCAATAAAGCTGATCAAGTGACATGTTGTCAGTGCTCGTATTAAATGTATCTATTACCAGTACGAAATATTTTATTCTCCGGTATACATTAAAAAAAGTACAGAAAATAATTTATCCATCGACTTTTTTAAAGAAATACATTTGTTTAGAATCACTGCCCTGATGCTTGTAGAGCCATTTATGTAATCGACTATCAACAACAGTGATAAAAACGAAGAAAGTGAATTCATTTATGTGTGTGTACGGATTTCCTTTGAAAATCCCTAATATCACAACTTTGTTTACTAGTCTAATCCAACGACTGATGTCAGTTTGTTTGTTTTGAAATTCGCACAGAGCTACACGAGGGTTATCTGCAATAGTCGTCCCTAATTTAGCAGTGATAGACCAGAGCGAAAGTAGCTAGGTAACATCACCCACCACCAACGAATAGTGGGATTGACCGTCACTCTATAATGCCCCCATGGCTGAAAGGGCAAACATGTTTGGTGGGATGAAAAGTGGACTGTAAGCTGAAAATTAGTTATTATTTCTATTATTACAGGCTCGCTATAGTTGTGTTCTTATAGTGTGAGCCACCTTAGTTTTGTAAGGTGTTGTTATTCTTTGCATTATCTTTTGCTATGTGTAACTGTTTTGAAAGTTTGTGAAAACAACTAACAGAAATATTTGTTGTCTTTACAGTTGAAGGACGATGAGCTGATCAAGGAACATTTTTATAACGCTCGTGCTATGCACCCGAAAATATTTTAAATTTTTCAATGACAATTTTATTCCGTAAGAAAAAGCAAGTTTGCTTAGGATTTTAATAACTGCTGTCTGTCTGTCTGTCATGTATACTTTTGTTGTAAATTGTGTATAAATCATCCTTAAAGTCCATTTCAAGTTGTGTCCGTTAACTTGGATTGATTTGTTTATTGTAGAAATCTTAAGTTATGTCAAAGAAACTAGATTCTGTTGAATCTGAATAAAATTACTGTGTTATTGTTGTACGAGGAGTGTGTATTTTTTCCCCTGGTGGCATTATTAGGACTTACACTTTTTTTTGTAGAATCAGATTGGTGTCTCGCGAATACACAAGTCGTTTATACTTGAACCAGTAAATAAGGGTGTATTGACAGCAGTTGGGCCCTGGCATCGCCAGGTAGTTAGGGTAATTGACTCGCAATCTGAGGGTTGCTAGTTCGAATCCCCGCATACCTTAATGATTGAATTACATTCTGTTTGTTGCTGTAAGTATACTTGAATTTCACTTGTTTCATATCTTCACAAAAGTTTGGGGATTTTAGCAAATTATAATAAATAAATATTAATAATGTATTTTAATAATCCTGCGTGTGTCAACTAGTAGTTCTTAACCTTGCCAAAAATATGAAGGATTGCATAGTGGTTTTATCAAACTGACCATCTTTTCATTGTATGTTGTAATATCAAACATACTGCTGGTGTGGATGTGCTTTGTAGTCGCTATGAGAGAAACCTGTACACTGAATAGGAAAAATAATACATCTAATATATTTGTACTTCCAAAAACTTCCAGCTAGTTATTACAATTATTAGCAGCATTACATTTTACAGTACAAATTTAAACTGTAAAATATATTTGTACACAAGATCCCATAAGCCAGTGGTTCCCGTACATGACAGGAGGTCTTCTAGACTTGATTCCCTGGGAGGTTAGGTCTTCTCAGGGTTCTAAATTAAGCAACAATTTCTATGGAAAATGTGGTCATTTCTTCACTGCAGCTTACATACTTTTATTTAGGTTTAATACAAGAGGGGTGGGGGCAGACCATATACAGTGTGCACGAGGTGGGCTTCATGTCAAGATGATTGGGTATTATTACCTTAACTCTTTCAGCACAGGCTTGGTCCCTGGGACCGACCTCCGTAACCATTTCGAGCTTGTTATAGTTTTCATGCTATAACTTTTAAATTAGTAAGCGAATGTTAACAACTTTTGGCAGATTATCAGTAAACATTACAATGCTTTCATATGCAATATATATATATTTTTTAAAATCAAGTCACAAGGTTTATAAATCAATGTTTTTCTCATGTCTATTTTTTTCTTTTTGCATGTTGCCTACATATCATGCAAAGTAATATTCATTTGATGATTAAAAATACTTTTATGCATCAGAAAAATTTGAAATTTCACATGCAAAATTTTTATAATGTCCAGATAGTTATCAAACATTTCTTAAGAAAAAAACTTCATATTTTATCTGTTATTTTCAGTAATTAATCTCTGTATGGGTTTGGTAGATTTGACAGATCTTGCAACTACCATAAAAAAATTAGGAAATAAATATAAATTATGCCTCTTTCATTCTAGAATGAACATAAATAACATAAATGTTTAGAATAAATAGCTTAAATCTCATAATATTATACATATATATATATATATATATTATTTTTATTATACTGACCTTTCAGCCATGCCTGCCTAACAATTAAGAAGTTACAATGTCACGTGCACTCATGTATCAAATAACATAAAACTGATCTTTGCTCTGTGCAAGGTAACTTGTCTTGGCTGTGTTTTAGTAGACTAGTATTTTATAAAATACAGTCAAATTTCAATTATTATACATTATATATGTATATAGATTATTGCTATTTTGAATTAAGTTTTCTTAAAACATAGAACAGTAACTAAAGAAGTAAAGCAACCAATTATCTCTTCTATTTACAACCTTTGTACTCAGTTGTGCTGTTGAAATATTGGTTCAAAAGAAGAAAATGGCGCCAAGTCCGTTAAAATGGCTAAGAAACCCACTAGGGGGGACATTCTGAGCTTCTAATCGGTTATTCATGTCATACATGGAAGTAAGTGTATATAAGGGAGCGTTTCCAAATATGGAAAGAGATGAGTTGGGTGACACTGTGTTTGATTGATTACATGAAGCAATATCTTGGAAACTGAAAGATAAGAG